GCAGCACCCTCACCATCAAACCCCCTCCCTCACCATCCCCCTCCCTCACCATTAACCCCTCCCTCACCATCAACCCAAGTCCCTCACCATGAACTCCCCCCTCAACATCAAAGCCCCTCCCTCAGCATCACCCCTCACCATCAACCTCCCTCCCTCAGCATCCCCTTCACCATCAACCCCCCTCCCTCACCATCAACCCTCTCCCTCACCATCAACCCTCTCCCTCAGCATCATCCCCCCTCACCATCAACCCCCCTTCCTCACCATTAACCCCCCCTCACACCATCACTCCCCCCCACCATCACTCCCTGCATCACCTTTTTGAGTTTCGCCTAAGACCTCATGAAGTCTACAGCCGCCTCTGATTGGGGAAACACCTAAAAATCATATACACAGCATATAAGTGGTTTGTGATGCATCTATACACCTACTGTTTACAGTGTTATTTTTTGCAATGATATGCTGCTACTCTTTAATTATTTCTCAGCAGCAAAAAAAGGTTAATAGAAATAAGGGGGGGAAAAACTACAATAAGTAAAACACATACCAAAATTACAGCCAATCAAATAGCTTCAGAGGGTATGAATGTCCCAAACTCCACCATCTTCCTTTTTCTTTGCTGCTCCATCAGATGGGTATTTGGGTTACTTAGGCCTTTTCTTTATGTCCCATTGTTAACTTGCTTTATGTAACTTGATTTATGTAATTTGATTATCTAGTGTGTGTCTTTTCTTTTATTACTTTCTGTTATCTTCACTTTCATTACTTTTCCCCTTATTGTACATATTTTGTTTCTAATCTTTGGTTTCCTCTGACCACATCATCAAATACTTCACGTGTATGCAAATTGTTAGAAAAGTCTGTCTGCTACAAATTAAGGGCAGGGTGTCCCCGCCTCATTGTATCCGATGTGGTGTGTGTGTGTGAAACACCGAAGATTGATCCTAAGATTAGTCAGTTCTTGAACTACACTGGATGGAAGCCACAAATATGTTTATAAATCTCTATACACAACAGTCAAGACAAAATTTTGGACACATTAGCTCCATTGAGCAAAATATTCGAGTTGGCTACACAGGTTATCTCTTAAAATTGCTCATGCTCATGCTTAAAGGACCACTATAGTGCCAGGAAAACATACTCGTTTTCCTGGCACTATAGTGCCCTGAGGGTGCCCCCACCCTCAGGGACCCCCTCCCGCCCGGCTCTGGAAGGGGGAAAGGTGTTTAAACTTACCTTTTTCCAGCGCTGGGCGGGGAGCTCTCCTCCTTCTCTCCTCCTCCGATCCTCCTCCTGGGCTGAATGCGCACGCGCGGCAAGAGCTGCGCGCGCATTCAGCCCGTCGCATAGGAAAGCATTTACAAAATCACAGTGAGAAGCACGCAAGCGCCTCTAGTGGCTGTCAATGAGACAGCCACTAGAGGATTAGGGGGAAGGCTTAACCCATTCATAATTATAGCAGTTTCTCTGAAACTGCTATAATTATGAAAAAATGGGTTAACCCTAGAAGGACCTGGCACCCAGACCACTTCATTAAGCTGAAGTGGTCTGGGTGCCTAGAGTGGTCCTTTAAAGGCGAGATTTAGAGGGTGATTTGTCTGAACTGTAATGTCAATATTAAATTGCAGCGAAACAGGAAAAGGTTGTGCCAATATTACATTGCATCTGCATTTACAGAACGTTGTAAGACTATCCTTTTTACTAGTCCAAGCTAGGCAACCTCGCTGTTAAAAAAAAAAAATAAGGTTCCCATACTAAAGGCATTCTTTTTGGTGACACTTTTGTAAAGGTCTTGCCTGTTTTTTGTAAATACCAATATGCGGAAGATATATATACTCCTAAAACTTTTGGTGCGGCCAGAAGTTGTCTATCCAGCCATGGTTAAAGAGGCCCCTTCAAATAGGCTACTTATCACATTGCCTAAATCCTGTAGAAGCCAAGTCTTCTCTGACCATCTTTTCCCAACAGGGATGACCCTAGGCAATAACAGTAGGACGAGGTGCTCCTTACAGTAATGTCTTCCACTTTCTTCCTCACCAGAGGTTGGGGCATGACTCACCAATTTTGCTCTGGAGTGATCTCTCATAACGTTTGATGCTGGTTCATGATGCTGTACAAGGCTATCTTATGTAATTTAAATGTATATAAGCGGTGGAGTATCTTAAATGAAATTGGGATGAAATCCTTAAGGAATGAAATCCTACATGGAGATAAACACAAGAAAAACAGACACTAGTGCAATATCGTTTGTATCCTGATATTGAAAGGAATAAGTACATGTAGATACACTCACAAGTAAGGAGCCAGTATGATTTTGGCTCAAGACCTCAGTTTAGTGGAATTTTAGGGCCCCACTCCCTCTTTGGTGAAGTAGCTGCAGTAGTTTGATTGTAGCCACAAGCAGGAATATTTCCAAAGTGCTTTATTTTTAAAGTGCACAAAACATGAATAAAATCAATAAAATAAGAATGTTCTTACTGTCTTTGTAGTAAGTCCTTAGCCTCACTTGTAGGCTTCCTCCATTGCTGTAGTGTGGTTTCCAGTTGATCTCCTTTTTAAACCATTCATAATTGCTGCTTTCAGGTGTCCTGGATTTCCACCTTCTGTGTTTCCGGTTCTGGTTTTGCATCCCACTGTTGGAATGCGGCGTTTCTTACCGTCTGACGTACTTCCGGTTTTCTTCCACGATGTTGGAATGCAACCTTGTGTTCCACTGTGGGTATTTCCTGTTCACATACCTGTGGTAATATTTCCTTCTCTTTGGAATGCATCCCTGCATTCTAACCTCTATTTTTGCATTTTTTCTGTCCAAAAACTGCTTATTTTGTATGCAAGAATTTAAAGTGATAAATAATAATATTGAATTAAAAGAAATTAAAAAGAACCAAAGAGATATATTGGGGGAAAAGACATTTCTAAATTAAGCTGTACAACAGATATCTCAGAAGGAATATATTAGAACATATCTTAAATATATAAAACATATAAAAGTATGTAAACACAATCCATTGCCTATAGGTGGGTATATGTGTAGCATAAAGTGCCTATAGGTTCCATTAATTAGGTGTGCATATGTGTTATATAAAATAACTATAGGTTCCGTTAATAGGTTACCCTTTATAGTCTATTGCACTATAGCCTCATAGGTAACTAGATAATCACATGACTTAAGTTAATAAGGATAGTTAAAAGAATTATAAGTGTAAATGAAATGTCTTTTAAAAGTGGAAAACCTCAAAATCGGAATTCAAACCGTATGGGATTAATGTTTTAAAACTGAAAATAAATTTCATTTCTTCTCTACCCAATTTATTCACATTGTTACCGCCTTTCTAATGTTTCTTCACTTTTTTTATTGCACAGAAGAATAGCCCTTCTGGGTTTTGGTTATGTATTTGTTTGAAATGGAGAGAGACACTGTGTTTCTACCCCCTTTTTAAAAAAAATTAAATTTTTTTAAAAAAATTCTTTATTTTTACTAGTTTTACCGAGGGTAGCAAAATATAATGATACAGTTCACAATCATTTGTGACAATAAGTATACACAAAACATTGCGATATGTTTGGAACTTTGAATCTAAGTAACATTGCATTAACTTAACATCCGTATATAAGGCTTCGGAAATTGCAAATTAGGTGGCAATGGGTATGTTGGTCACAGCTATAGTTGTGCTATGATCGTATGTGATTTGAGGTTAGGTTTTTATACTCCCCTCATAAGGGTTAACCTTTTGTTGTTTCTTGTACATGTGTTTCAATACGAGTTGGGTTGAGTGAACAAAGAGTAGCTTTATTCCCATGGAGAATAGGGAGAAGAGTGCGGAGAAGTGACAGGAAAATAGTAGGAAGAGAGATAGAGGAGGTACAGAGAAGGTTACTAGGTAAAGGGGAGGTTTTAGTCATAATTGGAGCAGGCAGCGTGCAGGTCAGCGGAGGGCAGGGGGCAGCATGTGGTACCTTTTGGGTGCATGAGGCAGCATCCAGGTGAAGCGTTGGGTTCTCTAAGTCCCCCCCCAGCATCCACGAGTAAGCCTCCCATGGCTCCCAGTGAACTTATTTAGTGTCCCCCTGACATGAGCTGTTAGTTGTTCCATGAGATAGTTATTTACGAGTACCGTGGCCATGGTTTGGGTCGTGGGTTGTAGCCATCCCTGTGTTAGGGCTCTACGGGCCACTGATATAATGTTGCATAATAGAGCCATCTCTGGTCCCGCCCAGCCGTCTATTGGCCTATATAGTAGGGACACCCATGGGTCAAAGCTAACCTGTTTTTGCAGGATCTGGGAAGCTAGTGTCTCCACCTCCTTCCAAAATATGTCCACTAGGGGGCAACTTCACCACATTTGGTGGTACGTTCCTCTGTCCCCACACAGTCTCCAGCATTGGTCTGTCGGAGTTTTGCGCATGTGATACAGTTTCACCGGTGTCGTGTACCATCTGAACATTGTTTTAAAGGCCTGTTCCTGTATTGTCACGCAAATCGATGTTTTACTATTGGCCTCCCATATGTCCTGCCAGTCAGTGCACTCCGGTACTTCTCCCAGTTCTGCCTCCCATCTGTTAGTATAGGTCAACTCCCCCCAGTCCGTGGTGGTGGAGCAGAAGTGTGAGTATATGCTGCTGATTAGACCTTTCTGGTATGTCTTGTTTTATGTGGGGTAAGTTCGCGAAGTCTCGCATTTGAATGTATCTGAAGAAGTCTGTGGTCGTTAATTTATATCTAGTTTTAAGTCCGTCAAAAGAGATCTCTTCGTGGCCTACATATATTTGGTGTATGCGTTGCAGCCCTGCATATTCTAAGCCCTTATAGTCTCGTGCCCGGGGGGAAGGCTTGGTTTCTGTGTAGGGGCATCATGGAGGACGGGGAGGACATCAGGGCGTGTTTTCGTGCGGAGATGTCCCAAGCGCGGATGGAGTTGGTGCTAGATGGGCGGTGGGTGGGTAGGGAGGTTGGTTGACAGGCGGTGGGTGGGGGCCCTAAATTAGAATGAAGGGGACCTAATGTCCTCCCCTTGGCCCCCACCCCTGAGCGGTGGGTGGGGGCCCTAAATACTAATTAGGGGGGGAGGCCTAATGTCCAGGGGGAAGGACATTAGGGCCCCACCCACCGCTCAGGGGTGGGGGCCGGGGGGGCAATAGGTCCCCCCTTTAGTTTAAAAGGATGTGCGAGTGGGGGCTCGGGAGGGGGGACCCTCTTTTTTAATATGTTTTTTTTTTACTAGGCATGCCCCTACTCGCGGTATAGCGAGTAGGGGCATAATTTACTAATACAAAGTAATCTTTACTTAGTATTAGTAAATTTGGCTGAAAGACCAATTTAGGTCTTTCAGCCTTTTGGTAGATAACTCCCTAATACCGTGGGAATTAGGGAGTTATCTACTAAGCGGCTGCAAGATGCAGCCACAGCACGAATAGGATCGGAGTTTCATTCATTCAAAGGAAATTGCTATCCGAACAAAGTCCCGAATTGCATTCTAACACGAATGGAGAAACTGTTCTCATTCTGTTAGGATGCAATTCGGCAGTTTTGTCGGCGTTCTGTCTAAGAGACAGGATGTAAGGCAATACTGACAGGAGACATCGTGGGAACAGGGAGGAAAGCTAAGGATCATGGGAAAATTGCTCTGACCACTGGAAACGAAGCACACTTTGCTCCTCCGCTGGTCATAGCTGGTCATGGTCTAGGAAACCTCCAGAAGAAAAATAGTCCCTACTTTGTCTTAATTTTTAAAGAAAACTAGTGCAGACAGGAAGAAATGAAGAACAGATCCTGAGAGAGGGAGAGAAGAGGAATCGATATGGGAAAGGTAAGTTCGGCATGACAGTGCCGCTTTAAGAAGGATGTATTTTCCCTTTTTATGGCATAAAAGCTGTGTTTTCAGGGTTGAAGTTTATGAACTTAAGTTTTTCTTCAACTAGATTGGTATTTAGGACTAATTTAAAAAAAATCTGACATATTCACTGTTCAATAACTCGATTTAATTATGCAATAGTAGAAAATCAGATAGCCCAAGTCAAAGCCTTCACAATAAGACCTCAAATCTAGTCCAAGGGTTCACTTGGTCCCTAGCTTCTCGAGTGTGGGGGCATCTGCCCTGGTGCTCCCCCCTTTGCTCCGCCACTTTTAGCAGCTTGTGGAACCGGCCACTGGCGCATGGTGTGGCAGCTGACTTCATCTGGGCTGCTTCTGCATTCCCTGTTCACTAAGTACCAGGGCGGGGTAAGTGGGGGCCATCAGAGCGAGGCTAATACTGGCCTGGGTCTGCTGCTGGAGGCTGCAGTGTGGTTACATGGATGGTGAGAGGGATGGGGTGGTAGCTCATGCTGACGATTGTGAGACAGCGAAAGTCACAAGGAGATGCCTAGCCTTGTGATGGTAGGAGGAGATGGGTTGTCTTATGGTAATGGGAGTGGGTCCAGTGCATTATGGTGTTGGGAGAGAGATGGGGAGATTGACCATGCGCTGCCATCAGATATTGTAGGGTCTTTTATAAAACCACTGACAGATATACCCTCAATACAATCTCCAAGACATACTGACATATAGACTCCTACACACACTCTGCTAAAGTGACATACATACTCACACACACATAGATACACATTGTGAGACAAATACATATAAACACACTACCACACACACAGATACACACTGCCATGTCACACACAGATATACACTCTAAAAGCACACACAGACCGCACACCACACAGGTACACACCGTCAAATACACACTGCCAGACACACACAGTTACCCCACTGATGGCAGCCCTGGAGATGCCAAATGGAGATGTAAGAGAGTGGGTCTGATGCCTACTGGTGATAGAAGAGGGGATGGGTGATGTTTAATGGTAAATGAAGATTGGAGATGGTTGGGGTGATGCCCAATAATGATTGCTATCAACATAAGCATCACCCCATCCCTCTCCCATCACCATTAGTCATCACTCTCTCTCATCATTATTCATCAGTACCCTCCCTCTCGTTTTACTATTGGCCATCACCCACTCCCTCTCCCACCATCATTAAAGTGTCATTGTAAACACCATCACAACTTTGCATCATTTTGAAGTCGATGGTTAATAGAGTATCCTGTACTTGCTCTCAGTTGTGTGAGTGGCTTAAAACTGCAGTGATTTGTGTAAATTGCACAGCTATAAGCCGGATCCTCAGAACTGTCAACAAGTAATGGATTCACAACTCCAGCAATCAAATAAAGAAGGAGTTTATTACCCCAGCACGTGAACTCGGCAACATTTCAAACCACGAAAAGATGTCTATCAAGCCAGACTTGGCAAACACTCCTCCTGTGTGTAGAAACGTTGTTGGGTCCACGTGCTTTATTTAATTGCTGGTGTTGTGACTCCATTACTTACTTCCTCCTAACCATCACTATTTGTGTGCAGGCGCTCCTTATTTTTTTTTTTTTCCTTAGAACTGTCAGACAACGTTGCTGAATTGAGTGTTCCAGCTGTCTGATATCAATTTCTTCCCCATCGCCGCACGCACAACTTGGACTGAGCTCTCTCTCCTTCTGAGAGATTGAGAGCAGAGCTGTAGACCGTACATGTATGGACTGTAGCTCCACTTATTGCTGCATGCAACATTCAAAATGGTACTGAGAGAGGGATGGGGTGATCAGGGCTGCCATCAGAGCTCATACAAAACACTGAAAACTCCCACACAAATACACTCTACCAAATACATACACAAGCTTCCACGCACACAAACGCATACATACATATATACTTGCAGAGACACAAAAACACACTGTGAGACACACACACACAAAATACATACTGCTGTATACACTCAGAAACACTCTACAGTCGCATGCACATCTAAACATTGCCATACACACGCATACACACAAACACACTGTGAGACGTTCACAAATACACAATGTGATACAAATACACAATAAAATACTGCCATGCACACAAACTCACACGGACATAAACTCTGACAGACGGACATTCTGATACACACTGCCAGACACACTGCCAGACACACTCCTACAAAAACACACAGATACGCTCCTGATGGCAGTGAGAAAGTGAGAAAGTGATGCCTATTGGTGATGTCTAATGGTGATGAGAGAATGCAGGGGTAATGTGTTTTACCCCTTCCCTCTCTCATCATCATTAGGCATCACCACCCCACTCCTACATCACTACTGGTCATTACCATCTTCTTCTCCCACCCACATTAAAGGATCAGTCTAAGCACCATCACAACTTTGCATCACTGCAGGGTTAATTGTGAATTGATTACCCTGACCTTGCTCTCAACTTTTTGAGTAACTTGGAACTGCAGAGATTTGTAAAAATCACACAGTTATAAGCCGGCCCCTAAGAGCTGACCGTCAGCAGTTTGTGCTCTTAGTTACAACTACTCATTTCAATTTTGTCCACATTGTACGTGTGGCTTGCATATGTCACATTCAGAATTCAGACTGAGCTCTGTCTTCTTCTCAGAGATTGAGAGCCAACTTGCTATGCACAGACCATGGCTCAGCCAATTGCTGCACTCAGTAATCATAATGAAAGTGGGAGAAGGATGGGGTGATCAGGGCTGCAATCAGAATGCATACAACACCACTGACTGGGACACCTTCTCCCAGACACATAGATATATAGCCTCCCATGTACACACACACACACAAACTCACACATACACACACACTTACATATATATTCACAGGCAAACAAATACAGTTACACAATGTGAGACACACACATGTACACACTGTGAGATGCACAGAAATACATAATTTGAGACACATGCAACCACAAATACATATTGCAATGCACAGAGATACACACTGCCACATCACACACAGATTCACAGACTTACCTAAAGACAGATGCTGCCAGACACAAATACATATAAATACTGACAAATACACACAGCCAGACACATCCATACAGATACACCCAGACACAAGAGATGTCTAATTAAACTGTGAGAAAGAGGGTCTGATGTCAGATGGTGATAGGAGAAAGGAGGGGTGATGTCTAATGGTGATTGGAGAGGGCGAGGGTGATGCCTAATGGAGATTATTGTCAACATATGTATCAACCCCTCCTCTGACCACCATTAGACTTCACTCTCTCCCATCATCATTAATCAATACCCCTGTCTCTCATGTCACTACTGACCATCACCAACTTCCTCTCCCACTGTCATTAATGAATCAGTCTAAGCACCCTCACAACTTTGCATCACTGCAATATAGATGGTGCATAGAATCTATCTGTGTGAGTGGCTTATATCTGCAATAAGCCAGCCCCACAGTTCTGTCAGTTGCAGCAATTGAAATTCTCAATACTGGCCGTCTGATATCATTGTACTCTAAATTGTGCATATGGCATGTACGAGCCGCAAGCACGTAGATTGTATGTACGAGCCGCAAGCAGAACTTGGACTAAGCTCGCATTACAATGGTTGGAGGTGAGAAGAAATATGTCCTAACATGTACACTGTACTTTGCATCAAAACTATTTTATCTTGTTGAAGTAGTTCTGAAGTAGTTTTGGTGCAGGGACTCACCTTCAATGTCAGTTTTCAGATCTTACTTTCTGAGATTTGGAGGATGAAACTCCACATTCTGCTGGCTGTTTGATTGACATCCTGGTAAGGAAGATCAGATTTGTCCAACCTGTGTCTGCGACATCCATACGACAGACACAACTCATTAAACAGTGAGCTGAACGGTGTATAAACTGGTAGTAATGGTGGTTTGGCCACTATCTGTATACAGAACAGTTCTGCTCATCATATGTGATGTTTGGAACTGGTAATATTCTTATCCCATAAACCCAGGCTGGGTATAGTCCAAAATGAGATGCTCCTGATTGGAGCCTCTTCCTGCTCAAATAGGGGCCAGCCTGTAACTGAGCCTGTAACTGAAATACAGAAACTAATCCTGGTGGTGGAAGATGAAGGCTGTTGCCTTATGGTGATTGGAGAGGGAATTCATGGCTAATAATCACAGGAGAAGGAGGGGACTGGTACCTTCTGGTGGTGAGAGAGGGAAGAGGTTTATTCCTAATGGTGATAGGAGAGGGAATATGCCTAATGATGGTGTTAGATGGGATAATATCCCACCCACTCTCCCATCACCATTAGTCGTCAC